CGTGCCCGGCGGGCCGGGCCTTCTGGCCACTCACCGCGCGCCCGCGCCCCGCAGGTCTTCGCCCTGATCGTGTTCTCCTGCATCTTCGGCGAGGGCTACAGCAACAGCCACGAGTCCGCGCAGAAATACTGCGTCTTCAACCACAACGAGGACGCCTGCCGCTACGGGGGCGCCGTCGGGGTGCTGGCCTTCCTGGCCTGCGCCTTCTTCCTGGCGGTGGACGCCTACTTCCCGCAGATCAGCAACGTCACGGACCGCAAGTACCTGGTCGTGGGCGACCTGCTCTTCTCAGGTAGCCGGGCTGCCCTGCCTCCGCCCTGGGGAGGGGCTCCCAGGAGCTCGGGCAGTCGCAGGGCCTTGGGGCCCCCCGGGGGGGGCGGCGGCCAGACGGCCCTCCCCTCCGAGCCCAGCTTTGCCACGCGCCGCACCCTGGGCAGACCCCTCCCCACCACTGTGGCCGTGCCCTCTGCTCCTGGAGGCTTCTGGGCGCCCTCGCAAGGCCTCGCTCCCCTCCCGGTTCTGCCCCGTCGCTGGAGCTGACCCTGCCTTCCCCGCTGTCTCCCCAGCTCTCTGGACCTTCCTGTGGTTCGTTGGCTTCTGCTTCCTGACCAACCAGTGGGCCGCCACCAACCCCATGGACGTGCTGGTGGGCGCCGACTCCGCCCGGGCCGCCATCACCTTCAGCTTCTTCTCCATCTTCTCCTGGGTAGGTGGCGGCTGGGCGGCCCTGGCCCACGGGGAAGGGGCGGCGGGCTGAGGAGCCCAACCTCTGCCCCCCGCAGGGTGTGCTCGCCTCCCTGGCCTACCAGCGCTACAAGGCCGGCGTGGACGACTTCATCCAGAACTACGTGGACCCCACCCCGGACCCCAGCACCGCCTACGCCTCCTACCCGGGCGCGTCTGTGGACAACTACCAGCAGCCGCCCTTCACCCAGAACGCGGAGCCCGCCGAGGGCTACCAGCCGCCCCCCGTGTACTGAGCGGCGGGCGCCCCTCCCGG